AGGACTCCATTGTTATTGTGGCCTAGCGTCCTCCAATGTTATTGCCACCCAGCGCCCTCTGTTGCTATTGCCATCTACCATGTTCCGTTGCTAGGACTTGATTGCTATTGCTGCCTAGCGTTCTCTGTTGCTAGGATGCAGGCGGTCATTAATGCCTAGTATCCTTCATTGCTAGGACACAGGTGGGCTATTTCCACATAGCGTTCCTATATTGTTATTGCCGCCTAGCGTCCTCAGTTGCTATTAATGTCTACCATCGTCCATTGCTAGGACCCGATTATTATTGCTGCCTAGCATTCTCTGTTGCTAGGATGCAGGTGGCCATTAATGCCTACTATCCTTCATTTCTAGGACACATGTGACTATTTCCACATAGCGTTCCTCTATTGTTATTGCCACCTAGCATCCTCTGTTGCTATTGTTGTCTACCATCTTACATTGCTAGGACTCGATTACTATTGCTGCCTAGCGTTCTCTGTTGCTAGGATGCAGGCGGTCATTAATTCCTAGTATCCTTCATTGCTAGGACACAGGTGGGCTATTTCCACATAGCGTTCCTACATTGTTATTGCTGCCTAGCATCCTCTGTTGCTATTGCCGTCTACCATCTTCCATTGCTAGGACCCGATTATTATTACTGCCTAGAATTCTCTGTTGCTAGGATGCAGGCGGGCCTAGTATCCTTCATTTCTAGGACACAAGTGACTATTTCCACATAGCGTTCCTCCATTGCTATTGCTGCCTAGCATCCTCTGTTGCTATTGCTGTCTACCATCTTCCATTTCTAGGACTCGATTGCTATTGCTGCCTAGCTTCCTCTGTTGCTAGGATGCAGGCAGTCATTGCCACCAGGCGTTCTCCGTCGCTAGGATGCAGGTGACTCTTCTACTCCAATGGCGCACTTTTGCACAAATGTTCACACGCGTGTGCTGTAACATATGGTCTGTACACATGACCCTGGCAGATTTTTCATAGCCGCGTGCGTGCGACCTAACATACATGACATAGTCATGCTCTCGGTGTGTCACAGGAACAGGGTTGAGGGTCTTCCAACATTTTAACACTTTTTCAATTTTTTGTCGTCACTTTATTATGACCTTTCATAGACTAAACAAAATGTCTCCCGCCCCTTGTAATGTTCTCCTCACAGATCACAGTCCATCACTCCCCAGCTTTCAGTGCACAGTAGAGTCAGCAGGCTGGGAGGAATCACTCAGGGAGTGCCCGGGGCCGACATTCCCCTCACAAGCCCCTCCTCGCCCTCGGAGATGTGACTTTCCACACATACAAAATGGCGCCTGACCAATTCGCCCTAGTAACAGAACCTGCGCGGGCCAATGGGAGCCACCGCCCTCACCAAACCCCGCCCCACTGCTCGGGCGCGCAGCCTATCCGGAGCCAACGGGGCGCGCGAGCGCGCGCGCGCTCTGACCGCAGGGAGCCGCTGAGTGGGGACGTTTCCGGAAGGGGGGGGGGGTGTTTCTGTGTGTACGTGAGAGGGGCGTCGGTACGTAACGTACGTCGCGACTGCGGTGCCCTTCTCCCTTGCCCTTAGCTCAGCGTGACGCTTTTCCGGCGGGGTCTCGCTTTATTTCCGGTCTCTGCGAGAAGTGACATTGAAGCGGGGTGGTACGGACTGCGAGGCTTAGGTGAGAGGCCCGGGCGGCAGGAGCGGGCGGTGACGGGGACTGAGGCCTAAAGGGGAGGAAATACGTTATATATACATAAATTAATAGCGTCACTAATATAATAAAATAGATATAATTTTGTGGAGGCTGTGGTGGGCCGCCATTGCTGAACCTCTGAAAATGCCTTCTGACTGGCTGTGCTGCCATGGCAACCAGGCAGAGGGCAAGTCCATGGCAACCAGGCAGAGGGCATGTCCATGGCAACCAGGCAGAGGGCACGTCCATGGCAACCAGGCAGAGGGCACGACCATGGCAACAAGGCAGAGAGCACGTCTATGGCAACCAGGCAGAGGGCACGTCCATCCATGGCAACCAGGCAGAGGGCATTGCCAGGCAGAAGGCAGTCTCAGGCTTTACACTTCCCCCCCCCCCCCCCCCCCCCCCCCCCCCCCCCCCCCCCCCCCCCCCCCCCCGACTGAGGAATCTGGGTGATTCTACAGGCTCCTAAGTCGCTCACCCTAAAGAAGCATGCTGCAAGTGAAGGCAGGGCACCCAATCCCTTGTACCTCCCAGAATTAGCGCTGGATGGTCACGTTGGGCGAGTTTCTTTATATGAAGGATATGCGCAGTGGCTCAGCACCAGCAATAAATGACCCTATTTTTTTTTTTGGTAAAATATAAAAGACGAGGTTGCAGCGAGTATCGTGTCAAACCTTAAATTTGCGCACGCTCGTGAAATTGCGACGAACGTCAGTATCCTATATTTTCTATAGGTTGACACTTTTAAAGCTCCTTTCTTTCACCAGCTCCTTTTTTGTTACCATAGTAACATTGAACTACTCTGGGCAAGTGAGCAGGATTTTTTTTTTTTTTTTAGCACATTATGATTGCTAATACCGATGTATTTCATTGATATTTGCAATCGTTGTTACTGAATGAAACTGATTCATTCAGTCTTTTGTTGTGATTAGCTTTGATTGGGCAAAGCTGATCGCATGATACAGATGGGCTGTGATTGGCCTTGTCTATATCATGTGACTGCCTTGACCAGTCACAGCTAACAACATAATTGTATACAATGGACAGCATGACAGGAAGCCATCCATTGTATACACGTGACCTGTGATCGGGCAAAGCTGACCACGTGATACAGATGGGCTGTGATTGGCCCTGTCTGTATCACGTGACTGCCTTGACCAGTCACAGCGAACATAATTGTATACAATGGATGGCGTGACAGGAAGCCATCCATTGTATACAAGTGACATGTGACCTGCTGTGATTGGGCAAAGCTGATCACATGATACAGATGGGCTGTGATTGGCCTTGTCTATATCATGTGACTGCCTTGACCAGTCACAGCTAACAAATAATTGTATAGAATGGATGGCGTGACGGAAAGCCATCCATTGTATACAATTGACATGTGATCTGCTGTGATTGGGCAAAGCTGATCATGTGATACAGATGGGCTGTGATTGGCCCTGTCTATATCATGTGACTGCCTTGACCAGTCGCAGCTAACAGCGTAATTGTATACAATGGATGGCATGACGGGAAGTCCATTCATTGTATACACGTTACCTGTGATCGGGCAAAGCTGATCACGTGATACAGATGGGCTGTGATTGGCCCTGTCTGTATCACGTGACCGCCTTGACCAGTCACAGCGAACATAATTGTATACAATGGATGGCGTGGCAGGAAGCCATCCATTGTATACAAGTGACATGTGACCTGCTGTGATTGGGCAAAGCTGATCACGTGATACAGATGGGCTGTGATTGGCGCTGTCTATATCATGTGACTGCCTTGACCAGTCGCAGCTAACAGCGAAATTGTATACAATGGATGGCATGACGGGAAGCCATTCATTGTATACAATTGACATGTGATCTGCTGTGATTGGTCACAACGGTCACATGACACTGGCAACGGGCCGGTGTAGTGATATGTCATCGGCTGTGTCCAGGTGACAGAACACGCTGCTCTGCGGCTCATTTTGACAGGACGTCATATGATGTCCAGTCACAACGAGGAGTGTCCCGCCTCTGCTATAGGCCGGGCGGGAAGGTGTTAAAGTTGTTCTGAAGACAAGTTTTTACTCCTATGCATTAAGGTAAGAAGCTCCCTCCCCAGCCCCCCTCATACTTCCCTGAACCCTATCTCGATCCAGCGATGTGCACGAGAGCAGAGGCTCTCTGCCTCCTCATTGGCTCAGGCACAGCAGCGGGAGCCATTGGCTTCTGCTGCTGTCAGTCACAGCCAGTGAGAAGGGGGCGGGGGCTGAGCCATGCTCTCTCTGTGTGTCCTTTGAACACACAGCCGGCTCAGGAGCAAACATGCACGAGTGCCCCCCATAGCAAGCAGTTTGATATGGGGACCCTTGGCAGGGGGGTGGGGCCCGGAGCGTCGGCAGGGGACCCCAAAAGAGGAGGATTGGGGCTGCTCTGTGTGCAAAACCATTACACAGAGCCGGTAAGTATAACTCGTTTGTTATTTTAAGGGCCAATTCACATTGACTTGCCCTAAAATGTATGAAGAATGGATAAACCTTTCCATCCATTTTAATCGCGCGCTGATGTTTGTTGATATACATTTTGATATCGGTTGACATGCATTTTATCGTGGGGTATGGCGGTGATCAGGACATTGGTATGGTGTATGGGGGGTGTATTGTGCGCACTGGGACTGGTGACAGGGTCTCCCTGCACTATTTATTATTGTGGGGGCAGTGATCAGGGACAGGGGGGCACTATACTGGGGCACTGGGGTGGCTGGCACTGCAGTCTGTGAGGGTACAAGCAGCCTGACGGCACACAGACACATTGGAAATTAGTCAATAATCGTAAATGCAGCGCTAGTCAGATGATGAGTAACTAAATACCTAAATATATCAACATAAATAAAATATAACAAACGTGAAAACATGCGCTGTGGAGCGCTAAATCTACTGGTGAGAGTAGCGTCTTGATATGATGCATGAAGTGCAAAAGTGACGCAAATATAAATAGATTCAAAGTCCAATAAACATTATAGAGTGAATTCCGTGACTCCAGTGGATGGAAAACGAGTGTACATCGCACCAAGCAGCGCAATAAATCGCACATCTGAGTAAATTACACCACTCCTGGTCATCTGGATCCGAAAGGTAACTCGGGATCATCCGGCACACGTCAGTACATCAGGTGATCAGCAGGCTGCTACTGTCCAGGTTCCAGGATAAATCCCATCCAGTATTTGGGGACCAGTCATAGGTATTGGATGAACACAGGAATCCACCTTAAGGAGAACTGGCAAATGTAACAGTGACAAAGATGGCTTCTAGATTGCAGCTGTCTAATGACGTGTTCTGTCTTTTCAGCAGGAAAAATGGCGGACGATATTCGTACAAAGATTGAAAACTACAAGACCGCACCATTTGATGCCCGTTTTCCTAATCAGAACCAGACCAAACATTGTTTCCAGAACTACCTGGGTAAGCCCATTTTACCCCTACTTGAGCGAGTTGGCATCTGCCATTTGGGCCCTAACTTTTACCTCTTTCCTGCCAGCCATTCACATCTATGTGGCCTCTCGGCGGGTGGGACTTAATGCCGAGAGGCCGCATATATGAGAACCTAAAGCTAAACCGTTCCGTGGTCACATGATCGGAAACCCCACCTCACCTCCCAACACCTGAAACCCCTTAGAGGGCTGGGAGGCGCCAAGGGGTTAAAGTGATAATAAACTCTTCTTTATCTTTTAATCCTTGCCTGCGTTCCAGTTTATTCTGGTGCCAAGATCTCTGCCACAGGTTTCCTGTTTCGGGGTGGCCCCCTTTTCTTGCAGCATCCCGCAAAGGCACCCTTGCATACAGGAACTAGAGTTGTGTCTTCCTACACTGTGTGCATCAACACAAACACACAACCCCGTAACATAAGACTGCCATGCACTCCTCTCCTCCTCCATGCTAACAGAGTGGCTGGAGACTGCACTGTCCACTCGTAGACCAGAAATTCAGGGAAGCTACACTGAAAGAACAGGAGCCGGCATCAACTAGAGCTGTCTTCCTACACTGTATGCATCAACAGAAACACACAACCCTGTAGCATAAGACTGCCATGCATTCCTCTCCTCCTCCATGCTAACAGGCTGGCTGGAGACTGCACTGTCCACTCATAGACCAGAAGTTTAGGGAAGCTACACTGAGAGAATAGGGGCCATCAGCAACTAGAGTTGTCTTCCTACACTGTGTGCATCAACAGAAACACACAACCCCGTAGTATAAGACTGCCATGCTTTCCTCTCCTCCTCCAGCTAACAGACTGGCTGGAGACTGCACTGTCCACTCGTAGACCAGAAATTCAGGGAAGCTACACTGAGAGAACAGGAGCCGGCAGCAACTAGTTGTCTTCCTACACTGTGTGCATCAACAGAAACACACAACCCCATAGCATAAGACTGCCATGCACTCCTCTCCTCCTCCATGCTAACAGACTGGCTGGAGACTGCACTGTCCACTTGTAGACCAGAAGTTCAGGGAAGCTACATTGAGAGAACAGGAGCCGGCAGCATTGATAGTTGTAAACTGAAAGTGTTGAGGTAAAAATTTTAGCAACGTTTACTAGGGAATGTTTATTTTATTGTGCTGAATGTGTTAAATTCTGAGGGTTTAATTCTATTTTAATCTTTTAGCCCCCCCACAAAGCTGAGCAGTGTAAGCTGAGAGTGTGATGAAAGAAAATAATAAGCTCAGAATACTTCCCAAAAAGCCTCATGTCAGAACGACCCATAGATCAGATATATCTCTGTAAATGTAATTCTCATTTTTCCTGTAGCCGTTGTGGGTCCTGCCTCCCCCTTCCTCCTAAGCCACCTTATTGGTCATTGAAGCTGTCTGAATACAAAAGGACCAATAAGGTCACTTTAGGGGTGAGAAGGGACGGGCCCATGGCTGGAGGCTTGAGGACATACTCAGCTGTCTATAGCATTGGATTTACTCATTGTTTTGTATGCATTTTTGGTGATTAACAGTCGTGTTCAGTTTGAATTGCCTGGTTTATTGTAAAGATCCCCAAAATGTAACCAATATCATCCCCGCCCCCCTCTCCACCCCTTGTTCCCACCATTCATTGATGGTGATGTGTTTTTTGGAAGACCATGGGCAGTGCCTCTTCTGGAAGCCAAGACCAGCGATCCAACGCTACAATCCATCTGGCCAAAATTTAACCAATATTGATCCCGCCCCCCTCCCCACCCCTTGTTTCCACCATTCATTGATGGTGATGTGTTTTTTGGAAGACCCTCGGCAGTGCCTTTTAAGCGGAAGCCAAGACCAGCGATCCACCTCTACAATCCATCTGGCCAAATTTAACCAATATCATCCCGCCCCCTCCCCACCCCTTGCTCCCACCATTTATTGATGGTGATGTGTTTTTTGGAACAGACCATCGGCAGTGCCTCTTCTGGAAGCCAAGACCAGCGATCCACCTCTACAATCCATCTGACCAAAATATAACCAATATCATCATCCCGCCCCCCTCCCCACCCCTTGCTCCCACCATTCATTAATGGTGATGTGTTTTTTGGAAGACCCTCGGCAGTGCCTCTTCTGGAAGCCAAGACCAGCGATCCACCTCTACAATCCATCTGGCCAAAATGTAACCAATATCGACCCGCCCCCCTCCCCACCCCTTGCTCCCAACATTCATTAATGGTGATGTGTTTTTTGGAAGACCCTCGGCAGTGCCTTTTACGGAAGCCAAGACCAACGATCCACCTCTACAATCCGTTGTCACTGCTAGTCCTTGCCACACCTCTTTTTGACTCCTCATGCCCCTGGAGTCTTTAGTATTTAACCATTGTCATCCCGCCCCCCCTCTCTACCCCTTGCTCCCACCATTTATTGATGGTGATGTGTTTTTTGGAAGACAATCGGCAGTGCCTTTTATGGAAGCCAAGACCAACGATCCACCTCTACAATCCATCTGGCCAAATTTTAACCAATAATAACCCGTAATTCGCCCCCCCTCTCCACCCCTTGCTCCCACCATTTATTGATGGTGATGTTTTTTGGAAGACCATCGGCAGTGCCTCTTCTGAAAGCAAAGACCAGCGATCCACCTCTGCAATCCATCTGGCCAAAATTTAACCAATATCGACCCCCCCCTCTCCACCCTTTGCTCCCACCATTTATTGATGGTGATGTTTTTTGGAAGAGACCATCGGCAGTGCCTTTTCCGGAAGCCAAGACCAGCGATCCACCTCTACAATCTGTTTAGTCACTGCCAGTCCTTGCCAGACCTCTTTTTGACATCCTCATGCCCCTGGAGTCTTTAGGAACCTGGCAGTAGATGGTCAGCAGGAAGTGCCCTTGTCACCAGGCATCTCTCTGGTCACCCAAAGGAGGACCCTTCCCACTCCCAGTCCAGAAGATAGAAGACCCAGGACCTTGCATGTCACTGAGGCTAGGTTCACACTAATGCGTTGTGGTACATCGCATGTAATTCGCACAGGAACCGCGCCGCATTTCCTGTGCAAATCACATGCGATTTGTGTGCAGTGCGATTGGAGCCATACATTATGTATGGCTCTAAGTGAACCAAAAAGGTGCAGGATCCTTTTTTGGGTCCGCACTAGAATCGGATCGCATGGGTATTCAAACCAATGCGATCCGATTCTGCGCACCGCGTTTTGCAAACCGCTTTTGGGGTGTTGACATACACACCCACATCAGTTCGCATGATACGAGGTGCGATTCTGATACGGTGCGGAATTCGCACAGAAAACGCTGCAAATTCCGCACCGCATCAGTGTGAACCCAGCCTTAAGCACAAATGAACATGATAATTAAAGGCAAAACTGTCTTCCTTTTTTTTTTTTTTTTTCCTATTTAAGCTTTTATTTTTGTTTAGAGCAGGGGTCTCCAAATTTCCTAAGCAAAAGGGCCAGTTTACTGATGTTAGGAGGGCCGGACTGTGACCAGTGGGAGTAGAAAATGGCCTGGCATCAATGGGCATTAACAATACCTCATCATTTGAATGGAAGGAATTCCTATTGTTTGTATCAATTGGAAGAATAGTGTCCCATTAATGGTGTCAGTGGGAGGAATAGTGCCCTGTCAAAGGTGTCAGTTGGTGGAATAGTGCTCCAAGGGCCAGAAAAAGACAAGCCAAGGGCCACAGTTTGGAGACCACTGGTTTAGAGTGATGAGGGGTTAGAACCTCTGTCAGTATTTTTGTGGCTTGTGTCCCTGTTATGGAGATGAACTTTCTCATTCTCTTGATCATGTACGTTGGTAGGAAAGGAAGTGAGGGCAAATCCGATATTTGGAGTTGTCATCAGAACAGAAATAGAGGGGAAATCTTCCATTAGTGACACTAGGTCCTGTGACAGCTGTCTAAGAGGGGGATTTTCTTCTCAGATCAAATCTAGTTCTCTCTTCTCAGGTCCTGCTTACTACAGGACAGGAAGTTAAGAGCAATCTCCCTAATGAGACACAGATGGCAAAAGACAGTGGTTATAAATTCCTCCCCCCATTAAAAAAAAATATAAAAAAGTAAAAAAATAAAGTAAATTATTTACATTATGCATATATTTTTTCCTCCCTTTTTGTGTAAAAAAAAAAATAAAAAAAAAAAATGCAATATTTATGAGATATATACATATATATGGGGTATATATAAGGGGCCATACAATTTCGGCCATGGGCCCATACTGTATATATATAATATATATTATATATATATATATATATATATATATATATAATAGATCTAGATAGAGAGAGGGGGGTGGGGGGAGTAGAGAGAGATGGATATAGAGAGAGAGAGATACAGATAGATCTAGATATATATAGAGAGAGAGAGAAAATCTGCTATTGGTTAGAGGGTGGGTTGGTGTCCTCAAATGTGTCTGAACTTCGAACACAACAAATCTGAAAGCCTCCATCATTATTACTTGGCAAGTATTCCAATTATACCGATTTCCCTTGGCTTCCTAAAGGCTTGTAGGGTCACCCAGAGCACCCAAGTCAGTAGCTTGCATTCACAATACCTGCACTACAAAAAATGGTGTGTGTGGTTGCTATTGGAAACCGATATTTCCTCATTTTATCCAAAAGGACCACAGTCCTTATTCCGCCAGAACATAATTTGTAATGGCGCATTGGCCTAGTGCAGGGGTAGGCAACCTGCGGCTCTTTAGCTGTTGTGGAACTACATTTCCCATGAGTCATTGCAAAGATTACGAAACTGACAGTTATAGCTATGACTTGCAGAGGCATGATGGAACTTGTAGTCCTGCGGCTCTCAGGTTGCCTACCCCTGGCCTAGTGGTATTACCATGCTAGCAAGGTTCTTCCAGAAAGCGCTCAGTGCTGACATTTCACTTCTGATTTTTTGCAAGTAGAGAATTGTGAGAGGTTGAAATGGAAGTGGACCTTCACCGTCCATCATTGTCAGCTAGGAGAAGGTGACATACCCAGAACCCCACACATGTACAGGAACACTGCTGGTCACTCCAGGATCTGTTGGGGCGTTTTGGTGAATGCACGCAGTCCTGCAAACTGCCTCCTGGTGTTTCTAGGTCTCGTCCCAGGAGGCACTTTGCGATATCCCATACATAGGCAAACACAGCACAGGGTCGCTTTCAATTGAAGGGACAATGGTGCATCCCCACATGCGCAGTGGGTTGGTGCATGCGCAGACACACAGACCTAGAAATGCCATGGCATGATCCCCACTGTGTGTCTGCGCATGCACCAACCCACTGCGCATGTGGGGATGCACCATTGTCCGTTCAATTGAAAGCGACCCTGTGCTGTGTTTGCCTATGTATGGGATATTGCAAAATGCCTCCTGGGATAAGAGACCTAGAAATGCCATGGCATGATCCCCACTCTCATCCCAGGAGGCATTTTGCGATATCCCATACATGGGTGCAAACAGTGCAGGATCTCTTTCAATTGAAGGGACCATGGTACGTCTCCACATGCGCAGTGGGTTGGTGCATGCGCAGACACACAGTGGGGATCATGCCAGGTTCTCTAGACCTGGCAAAGATCCTTGGGGCATGTCTGTGCATGCCCCAGATATGGGTGTAACATAACGATGGTGGTGCCAGAGAGGGAGAACTCTCCATACAAGAAAGACAATGCTGGACTCCATAGACTAGCATATATGTTTTTTGTTTTGTTTTGTTTTTTTGTGTTTTTTTTTTTTATTTAGGAAGGGACAAGGTTTGAGGATTTAAAATAATTTTCCATAGTAAGGGTGGAGTGCCTCTTTTAAGATCAGTTTATAAAAATCGTGCATACGGCTCCACTACATAATTGGAAAATTCACTGAAGCACTGTAACGCCCATCAGGAATGTCATTGGACACACTACAGTTCTGGTTGCTGTTGGATTGCTCTTTTACGCTATTTAAAATAAATTGAATAACTGAAGCGCTAACTATGGTGAAATAAAAAAAAAAAAATTACAATTAAATAGCCGCTAGTGCACACAACCCATGTCTCAGTGGGGCAAATTATACAATCATAATGTGAAGTGGAAAAAATGCTGCGCTACATGAAACAATGGCACAATCCTTATATAACTAAAAAAAGGGTGAAGAAATACATATATATAATGCCGGCCATAGACGGGTTGAAAATCGGTCGGCCGTTTTTTCGGGGTTTTGGCACATTTTTTTTATCGGTAAAGTTGGAAAAAAAAATCGTCTGATTTTGCCGATCAGCCGATTTTCCCGGCAATGATGGGCAAATGGGCCGATCATTTTACCGATAAAAAATCTACTCTTGAGCCATGCCCTGCAAGAAGAAGAAAAAGAAGAAGAAAAAGAAGAATTCCAGACCGCTATTATATTTGACATGAAAAAGTATTGCGGTTGCAACAATGTATCTATTTGTATCCGAATAAAAAAGCATCTGTATCCGAAATGGATAAAAATAGATACATTGTTGCAACCACAATACGTTTTCATGTCAAATATATTCGCGGAGCTCTCTGCAAGGGACAGAAATAATTAAATGCAGGCCATAGACGGGACGAAAATCAGCTGATTTTTTTTTTTTTTTATAACATTGGTGGTAACGTCGGCCTATTGAACAACCGTTTTTTTTTTTTTTTTTCTTAACGGACGGTTTTCGACCAGTCTATGGTCTGCATTAGAACAAAAAAATAGAAAAAATATTAATATTGAAAAAAAAAAATTTGTGTGTGTGTATATATATAATATTTTTAAGTATGAATCAAACAAAAGTCATTCAAGTTCAATCAATAAAGTGTTCATTCAGTGAACCCTCCTTTTGGATAACGAAAAATATGTGTATCTGTCATCAATTCCTTTGAAAAGACATCCTCCACCATATATCTGCTCACCTCACACAGTGTGACCGCACGTTATACAATGTTACAGACTGCACTTTTGGTCCCATATGGACTCAGAAGATCAGCTTGCTGAATGAAGACTCCAAAGTAAGCTCCCTCCTGATAAGCGTCTTTGTATCAGCCGTATTCCTCATTAAAAAGAACTCCTCATAGTGCTTTATCCTTTTAAACTTTTATTCATCAATTGCAACATATGAAATACACTCACGTTCCGGAGGTGTATTTTTCACCACGTGTGATGAACATCTAGTGATGTACTGATTAAATGCTATTGTTTTGCTTTGTCTGTTTTTGCTCTTCTTGTGAACAAGATGACCTGTAATTCTTTACCAGTCTATTGAATTGAATGCTCTCTTTGTAGATTTTCATCGATGCGAGAAGTCTTTGATTGCCAAAGAACAGGATCCCTACCCATGTCAGTGGTATTTGAAAGTGTACAGGTCCATGTGCCCCAACTCTTGGGTAAGTCCCTAGATCACCCTGGTCACTGTAAGCTGTGGATCGATGAAGCAGGCTTAAGCCTTGTACACATGGGCATACTTCAGCATACGCTCATGCGAGGGCAGGGTGAGTGCTCAGGGATACATTTTTGTTCCTTGCATCCTCTTGAAGGCAGTTCTATTCATGTCAGTGGGAACACAGTGGCTGCATGCTGGCTGTTGCTCACAATTTGCTAGCCATGCAGGTGATAATAAATAGGACTGCTGGCATGGAGATGCATAGGGCACCTGTGTATCCCTGTGTGGGCAAACATAGCCCTTGGGCAGGCGTACGCTGCAGTGCACCCATGTCAACGAGGCCTTAGGAAACCTGTATAATTTGTCTGTATTGCAACTACTAATCCTAGCATGTCAACTGCCGGAGCAGAGCATGGAAATCCATATATAATTGCAAGTCCAATGCACAGGAAATATCATTTTCCAACATGCCCATTTCTTGTCTAGTTACTCTAATGATTCTATCTGCAAACGAATTTTATATATTTTGTAGTAAAGCTGACAGAGTACAAATTTAAAGTGGAACATAATCTGACAAGGGAAGTTCCACTTTCCTCCCCCTCCCCGCCTGTATTGGAAGTGGGTTATTTTTAAAAAATTTGGGGGGGGGGGGGGGGGGCGTGTGTCTATTTCTGGCCGCTTTCACATCTGCTTGGCTTGCCTGGCCGAGCTGAGTGGCAGTTCAGCCCTGCCACCTGCAACACATGACAGGTCCCAGGAGGCTGCATGTCCATTCAGAAAGTGCAGCGTGATCTGTGCATGCACAGTGTGGAGGTGGCTGTGAAGCCTCAGGAAGTCACAGCAAGCTTCCTACCAGGCAGGTTGGTGGCGCTAGGGACCTGGAGACCAACAAAGAACCAGCCCAGTTGATGACGGCAGTGTATCCCTAGGCTTGTGAGTGTGGGTTTATTAAAAGTCAGCAGCTACAGTATTTGTATCTTTGGACTTCAAAGGTTTGTAGAGATGACCGGAGTGCCTCTTTAATGTCAGCGCTATAAATACAACTGGTAAATTAAGTATTGAACATGGGTTTTAGTTGGGTTTTAGCTGTTCTGCTTAAAATTCATGTATTTAAATATTTGCTGGTCCTGAATGTTTAAAGCAACGTTCCCATTTCCTGATCTGTTCTGGTGTATTTACTGCAGGTGGAGCAGTGGGATGAGCAGAGAGCAGCGGGCACATTTCCTTGCAAAATCTGAAGGCTCTACGCTGGACTTGTGATGTTGATTCCTGCAATCTTGAATGATGTTCACACCAGGCCTGATGTTTCAGCTGGTTTTGTTCCATTTAAATTTTGCTTCTGTTGTTGTAAATCGATGGAGAAGCATCCAGTGAAGTTTATTCCTATGTCAATAAAACCTGAAAATGATTCCCATTGGATTCTGTGTTGTCATATGTTGGGGTGTGTGTTTGTTTTTGCTTGTGTTTCTTTCTTTTTTTAATTTTACCTGGTAATGGTAAGTCTTTAACCGCTTCCCGGAAATACTGCTACAGGACAGGGCTGTGCACAGCCATCCAAAGCAGTGTGCACGAGCTTACAGGGAGGAGAGCTGTTTTGTTTACAAACCGCTCTCCCCATCAGAGATGCTCGGCAATCACCGGGTGTCATGTTATTTATTTATAGATCGATAGATATATATCTATCTTTGCATTTTTATTACAAAATATATATGAAAAATATTTTTTTAAAAATACATTTCAAATATACTGTGTGTCTTTAAAACTACAAACCTACATTTTTGGAATGCATTTACAAGTATATGTAAAAGTATATGTTAAAATGACTTTTTTATGTTAAAAAATCTGAAGAATATATTTAAAAAAAATAAATATATTTTTAAATATATTTTAAAAATATATTCTTCAGATTTTTTTTTTAACATGTAGAGAAAAGTCATTTTCAAATATATATTTATATTGTGTTTCCAGATAGGGGGCGTGCACTATTCGCAGCCTCGGGTGTCAGTCACCTGGTCCTGGTCGGTGATTACTTGTCGACACCCGGTGATTGCCGAGCATCTTTGATGGGGAGAGCTGTTTGTAAACAAAACAGTTCTCCTCCCTGTCAGCTCGTGCACACTGCTTTGGATGGCTGTGCACAGCTATCCAAAGCAGTGTGCTTACAGTGAGGTACATGGACACAGCCAGTGGCGTCGCGAGGCAGGTGCGTTGCACCGGATGACACCGACCGCACGGGGTGACACCGGACCCGCTCCACAAAAAGGTAAGTTGTAAAGCAAGCCGACGATCCCCGCAGGATGCATCGGATCCATCCTGTGGGGATCGTCGGCTTGCTTTACAACTTACCTTTTTGTGGAGCGGGTCCGTTGTCACCCCGTATAGGTTGCATGCCGACGATCCTGCGGGGTGACACCGGACCCGCTCCAAGAAAAGGTAAGTTGTAAAGAAAGCCGACGATCCCCGCAGGATAGATCGGATGTGCGGATTGAGCATAATGGATCTGAGTCCGATCCATTATGCTCAATCCGCAGATCTGATCCATTCTGCGGGATCGTCAGAGGGGGTGTCACCAAGTGTTACTGCATCGGGTGACACCAACCCTAGGGATGCCTCTGGACACAGCACCCATGTAAAACACACCCATATGTTAACCCCTGCCTGCCCACTGCCATTAGTACAGTGTTAGTGCTTGTTTTTTTTTTTTTTTTTTTTTTTTTTTTTTTTTTTTTTTTTTTTTAGCACTGATCACTGTATTGGTGTCACTGGGGATGTCCGTGACACCAAGTCAGTTCTCCTCAGTGCCAGAATGCCTGCCGCAGTCCCGTTATAATTCGCTGATCGCTGCCATTACTAGTAAAGAAAGAAAGAAAAATCCCAGTATCTATTCCACTATTTGTAAACGCTATAACTTTCACATAAACCAATTCATTTACACATATTGGGATTTTTTTTTTTTTTTTTAGCAAAGATGTAGCAGAATACATTTTGGCCTAAATTTATGATGAAATTTTATTTTTTTTTTAATTTTATTTCTGGACATGTTTAATAGCAAAAAGTCAAAAATATTTTTTTTTTTTTTCTCAAAATTGTCACTTTTTTTTTTTTTTTTTTTTTTTTTTTTTTTTTTTTTTTTTTAATACAGCAAAAAAAAAAATGCACAGGCGATCAAATACCACCAAAAGAAAGCTCAATTTTTGTCAAAATGACGTAAATTTCATTGCAGCATTGCATGACCGTGCAATTGTTAAAGTAACGCAGCACCGTAATGCTCAAAATGGCCTAGTCAGGAAGGGGGGGTAAATCCTTTGGAGGGCAAGTGGTTAAGAGAAACTCCCTTTCCCCAACAGTTTGGTGTCACCAATTTATAAATTTAATAACTCAAGCGCTAACTATGGTGAAATGAAAGCAAAAAAATTTCAATTAAATACTGTAGCCGCTAGTGCACACAGCCCATGTCTCAGTGGGGCAAATGATACAATCATGTAGCGCAGCATTTTTTCACTTCACATTATGATTGTATAATTTGCCCCACTGAGACATGGGTTGTGTGCACTAGTGGCTGCAGCATTTTATTTTTTGTTTTGATTTCACCATAGTCAGCGCTTGAGTTATTCAATTTATAAATTGGTGACACCAACACTATTGATTGAACTTGATTTTTTTTTTTTATTCATATATAAAAATATTCTTTATTTTTTGTGTGGTTTTTGTGTGTATGTATATGTATGTGTGTGTGTGTATGTATGTATGTATGTATGTATATATATATATGTATGTATGTATGTGTGTGTATATATATATATATATATATATATATATATATATAATATATATAAAATTTCAATATTAATATTTTTTTCTGCTATTTTATCTTCTAATATATATTTTTTTATTTTTTTCACTTTGATTTTTGGTTATAAAAGGATTGTGCCATTGTTTCATGTAGCTCAGCATTTTTTCTCTTCACATTATGAAACAATGGCACAATCCTTTTATAACCAAAACACAAAGTGAAAAAATAAAAAAATAAATATTAGAAGATAAAATAGAAAAAATATAAATGTATATATAACAAAAACCACACAAAAAGAAATAAAGAATTTTTAAATATGAATCAAAAATTCAAACAAATCACGTTTATTCAATAAAGTGTTGGTGTCACCAATTTATAAATTGAATAACTCAAGCGCTAACTATGGTGAAATCAAAACAAAAAATTACAATTAAATGCTGTAGCCGCTAGTGCACACAACCCATGTCTCAGTGGGGAAAATTATACAATCATAATGTGAAATGAAAAAATACTGAGCCACATGAAACAATGGTCCAATCCTTATATAACCAAAAAACAAAGTAAAAAAATTATATTAGAAGATAAAATGGTAGAAAATATTAATATTGGAATATAAAATATATATAACAAAAACCACACAAAAAAAAGAATTTTTTTAAATCTGAATCAAACAAAAAATCATGTTTAATCAAAGTGTTGGTGTCACCAATTTATAAATTGAATAACTCAAGTGCTAACTATGGTGAAATAAAAAAAAAATTACAATTAAATGATGTAGCCACTAGTACACACAACCCATGTCTCAGTGGGGAAAATTATATAATCATAATGTGAAGTGAAAAAATACTGAGCTACATGAAACAATGGCACAATCCTTATATAACCAAAAACTAAAGTGAAAAAATATATATTAGAAGATAAAATAGTAGAAAAAATAATATTGAAATAAAAAAAAAAAAAAAAAAAAAATATATATATATATACACAAAAACCACACAAAAAAAAATAAATATTTTTAAATATGAATCAAACAAAAAGTTATAAAAAAAAAAATTGAGTTCAATTAATAAAGTGTTCATTCAGTGAACCCTCCTTTAGATAACGAAAAATATGTGCATCTGTCATCAATTGCCGTGCAGAGACATCCTCTGCCATATATCTGCTCACCTCACGCAGTGTGATCTCACATTATACAATGTTACGGTCTAACTGCACTTTTGGTCCCATATGGACTCAGAAGATCAGCTTGCTGAATGAAGACTCCAAAGTAATCTCCCTCCTGATGAGCGTCTTTGTATCAGCCGTATTCCTCATTAAAAAGAACTCCACATAGTGCTTTATCCTTTATAAACTTGTATTCATCAATTAAAACATAAGCAATGCACTCATGTTCCGGAGGTGTATTTTGCACCAGGTATGATGAAGATCCAGCAATGTACTGATTAGACACTAGATGGCAGTATCATCTCAGCAGCAGAGTCCTGCACATGCTCAAAACAGGCACCATCCGTAATGTAATGCAAGGCAAAGCACGGGGCCCATTTAGTGAATGCTATTGCCTGTAATGTTCCAAGAGCCGTTTGTAGAGCACTACAACCGCTATCCCGATAAATGGCAACATTGTGATGTCATCCGCACACTCCTTCCCGACACATTTCGTCACTAATCACATGACTTTATCAAGGTACTCTACAAACGGCTCTTGGAACGGCATTACAGCAGGCAATAGCATTCACTAAGTGGCCCCGTGCTTTGCATTGCATTACATTACGGATGGTGTCTGTTTTGAGCATGTGCAGGACTCTGCTGCTGAGATGATACTGCCATCTAGTGTCTAATCAGTACAACACTGGATCTTCACCATACCTGGTGCAAAATACACCTCCGGAACGTGAGCGTATTTCATGTTTTAATTGATGAATACAAGTTTATAAAGGATAAAGCACTATGTGGAGTTCTTTTTAATGAGGAATATGGCTGATACAAAGACGCTTATCAGGAGGGATCTTACTTTGGAGTCATCATTCAGCATGCTGATCTTCTGAGTCCATATGGGACCAAAAGTGTAGTTAGACTGGAACATTGTATAATGTGATGTCACACTGCATGAGGTGAGCAGATATATGGTGGAGGATGACTTTGCATGGGAACTGATTACAGATGCACGTATTTTTCATTATCCAAAGGAGGGTTCACTGAATGAACACTTTATTGATTGAACTTAATCTTTTGAATTACTTTTTGTTTGATTCATATTTAAAAATATTCTTTATTTTTTGTTTATATATATATATATATATATATTTATATATATATATATATATATATATATATATATATATATATATATATATATATATATATATATAAAATATACAGTTGTGTTCAAAATAATAGCAGTCAGACATCACTAACCGGATCAATCACTGTTTTTGGTAGAAATTA